ACAGACATTCTGTCTTACTTGAAAGCAAATATTAATGATGCCTTAAGGTTTGGTGACCCCGTATGTAAAAAATGCAGGGGAAGATACTACAATCACCATTCATCTACTGAACATCCTAGTAGCGATGTAGAGCACCAGCTTGAGTCACCTAAAACAAAAAAATCAAACTTGACATTCCACGGGCTACATTAGGTGAATCTCGATGTTTCATTTGTAAAATGTTAAGAGAGGAATGTAAAAGTAAAATGGTAATGCTCTCAACAGAAATGCGAGTAAAGATTTTTATTAAGACAGGTATCCTTGTCCCAAACACCTGCAGATGTTGTTCTTCCCACATAGTGAATGGTGATTTCCCATCTGATAGTCTATCTTCACTCGCATATTCCAGCAAAGACACTGAACTGGATTCTTCTGAAATATCAGAGATCCTTTTGACACTTAGGGCAGCTGCTTCAAAGAAAAGTTGTTTAGACTTTGATTCCTCAGATGGATTAACTGATCAAGATTACTACCGTCTCACAGGTCTGTATAAAAATCAATTTTCTGACCTTTTACGATCAGTTAATCCCTCTCTTTACTCTACACTGAACAGAAGCGCAAGAACTGCATTAGCCATCCTGCTTGTAAAGTTGAGGACTGGCATGTCTTTATCAATATTAGCTTCTCTGTTCAACATGACAAAGAGAATATGTGGAAAATGTATTCATTCAGCTCGCCAAGCATTGATGACCCACTTCGTTCCTTCACACCTTGGCCTGCAACACATCACTAGAGAACAAGTAATTCAAAACCATACAACGGTATTTGCAAGGAAGATGTTTGCCTCTGGTGAAGATGTCGCTATAGCTGTTGCTGATGGCACATATATTTATGTTGAAAAGTCCAGCAACTATACTTTCCAACGACGCTCTTTTTCGATGCACAAAGGACGCCCTCTCCTGAAACCAATGCTTCTTGTGGCCTCAGATGGCTATATACTGTCTGTCCTAGGCCCATATTTAGCAGACGGTCGAAATAATGATGCCAACATTACAAAACACATGTTGAAAACTAACACTGAGAACATCAAGGATTGGTTTCAAGATGATGATGTTCTTGTCGTTGACAGAGGCTTCAGAGATGTGACAGAACTGTTGAATGATGCTGGCATCAAAACTGAAATGCCATTTTTCTTGCCAAAGGGGCAGAAACAACACACACATACTGAGGCAAACGAATCTCGTCTTGTAACAAAGGTAAGGTGGGTTGTGGAGTCGGCAAATGGGCGGATTAAGCAGTGGAAGACCTTGGGACATGTTTTGCCCAACACTCTCATTCCAGTTGTAGGTGATTTTGTGAGAATTGTGTGTGCAATTTGTAATGCTTTTCGCCCCCCACTTGCCTCTGATTCTCCCAATGACCTCATCATTGCTGAGCGAATGTTGGCTCTGTCAAAATGTCCCAATAAATTGCAAATTCAAGTTGAAAAAGAAGGTTTGGCTAGGAAAAGAGCCATATGGGTCAAGCTTGATGAGGCCAGTTTACCTGACTTTCCTCAGCTGACAGAACCGGAGTTGAGAGATCTTACCATGGGAGTATATCAGTTGAAGCAGGCAAAGTCATATACCATGGAGCACTTGTCTGAAGATGGCCAGTATGAATTAATGGCATGCAGGGAAAAGCCTGGCTTAATTAAAGTTCAGATTCGTTCCAGACATGTTGCTTCGAAACTGTACAACCTGTGGATTGAGTATTCCCCTGGTTTGACTCCTATATCTGGTTGGTATTGCCAGTGTAAGGTTGGTGCCAGGGTAGTGGGCTGCTGTGCCCATATTGCATCTGTTCTCTGGTACCTTTCTTATGAGCGACACCACCTAGGATAGCACACCCAACTTCCTCACCAAGCTACCTCAGCTGTGCTGATGACGCAATGATGATTGAGGACTGGTCTGAGTCTGACAGTGACAATGAGTAACTATGTGTACGACCATTGTATGTATAGTGGAGTGAAATGCAACACTAGAGGTTAAGATTGATATCTTTCATTAGCCATTTCTGTGTTAATACTTCGGTAAAACCACTAGATACAGACATATGGTCAAAGTTGTCGAACTAAAATTCAAAGCACCGCCTCTTCTTTGTTTTCTTTAAAGTATGCAAAAATATTTCTTATTAAAACATGGTACATGATAAAGGTATTGTTTTTATGTACATTAAGGCAGAAAATTAAGTTCATCTTTAATATAATTCGCAATTAATGAGCTTAATTACCATGACCTACTTTTCAACAATGGAATATTTTTTTCAATCAATTTTACTAATGAATGTTTTGATATGGATTATTACATGAAAATTAAGAAGAAAAAATCCAAAAATATAATGTAGGTTTGTCATAATGGAGCTGTTTATGAATTTTACCCCCCACTTTACCCCCCCATAACTAATGAATGGCTCAGATCTGACCTTAATTTTATGTCATATCATGACCGCCTAACCCCAAGGAATTCCTACACAAGAAATAAAAAATATCGGTCATGGCCGCCAGAAGGCCCAAATTGCCACTCCTCCTTTGTAACACATGGGTTTTAAAACATACTGGCTGTATTTGATGTTCATTCATTTGCCTATGGATTCCGTTGTTTTATATCGTGTTCTCAGGTGAAAACCTGACAAAACTTACTTGGATTGACCAAGATGGTGGATGCTATCGAGGAAACAGAAAATGGTGACTCTTCCGGAACACCTTGTCTTATTCTCCTTGTACGTGTTAGGAGTGTGTAAATCTTTCTTTTATCTATATTTTGTCCTCGTTCTATTGAGTTTGGATTATTATTGTTTAGTCATGTTGGTACTTACTTGTTCTTGTCGTTTGTTTGTTTTTTATTATGTCGTGTGTATTTGTAAACTTGTTATTTTAAACCCTGTAATGTTTACTGTGGAAAACGTTTATAAAATCAAAAGGTACCACATGTTAATCCGTAAAGGTTCACAATTAACACTGCGTTTAAGTGGAATCGCGCACATGTCAAGGAAAGATGATTATGAAGCTAATTCAAAGGGATTCGGTGTCTTATTTCGCTGCCACACGAGAATGCCTGACAATTTAACGATGTTTGATGAAGTCTGGCGACAGCTTTAGGGCATGCAAATACTGAATCATACATCAAATTAAAGAAAAAAATATTTGTCTGTCCATTTAGAGCACAGCCAGCGAGATGTCCCGAAATGGGGACGTCTCGTTAGGCCGATGTACATGTAGTTATAGACCTTGTTATCAGTATAAGTGTATTGACAGACGAGGTTGTAACCTGAAGTAAAACGTGTTGTGTTAATGATTTGTTCCAATTGTTACTTACCAGGTATATTCGTTCAGTGTTTCATATATTACAACATGATTTGTATAGTAAGTGAAACCGAAGTTCTAAACGAAGAAATGTGTTTAAATGATAATAGTCAGGCCGACATTGTTTACAGACTTAAACAAAATTAAAACTATTTTGTCATTTCACAGCTCTGACTTGTTGAGGCAGTTCAGACTATCATATTTTGAGAGTTAATTTTGCCTTTAATGCTGTTGTATTGCCAGGAGATCTGTAACATCTGATGTATTCTAAACAGCGTAATGGAAGGTGAATTTCTGTTCCAAAACAATACACACCACGCCTTCAGATAGAATGATGACTATTCATTTTTCATAGCAATAGCGATAGCATTCGCAGGGACAGAAACCGTCTGAAATCTTATAACAGACCATATTTATTTGGACTGTAACAACTGTTAGTCAGTTGTCCGTATAATGTAAGCGGATGGGGTGTTATTCTCTCCTATCCAGATATACATTTCTGTGTGATAGCACTGTAAAAATGTGTCTCAGGCAGCTAGACCTTCAATAAATTCCTTCATTAATCATGGCATTAAATTTTGTCCTTCTCTGCACAATGTCAATGACTAGCAAGCAAAGTGAACCATGTTGAAATACTATATAACGAAAAATGTGCAAATCATATGAACAATGGTTGCTATGTTGCTAAGGTGGTGACGTCATCAAGCAACTTACTAATATAGATACAATGTACATCTTTGCGTATAAAAGTGATGATGTGTTGAAAGCTTGTTACCAATATAACGACGCCATGATAACCGTTATTCAGCTTCCGTGATAATTAACTGTCATTACTAGTCATACTGTTTGATGATGTGCTTTGAATATACAAACCGTGGATCGTTTCGTCAGCTGTTTACTTTCGCCCTCACATCATTAAGTTCATAATTGTCTCTTATGACTGATGTTTGACAACAGATTCTGGTGGAGAGTTTCAATGGCTTACATGACGAATCCTAGTTATAGTTCGTCGAATGTGTGGCAATCACAAAGGTAGACACCTACTCACCATGGTTATTGTCAAATCACACTGGTAGACGTTTACTCACCATGGTTAACGTCAAATCACATTGGTAGACGTTTACTCACCATGGTTAATGTCCATCACAACGATAGACGCTTACTCACCATGGTTAACGTCAAAGCACACTGGTAGACGCTTACGCAACATGGTTAACGTCCATCACAACGACAGACCCTTACTCACCATGGTTTACGTCAAATCAAAACTGGTAGACTGAACATTACCCCCCCCCCCCCCCCGTCAAAAAAAAAAAAAAAAAAAAAAAAAAAAATGTCAAGACACCTAGTCATAGTTCTATGTGGGTGATAATAATAGCGGTGAATGTCAAACAACAGAAACACATCAAATTACATTAACATTTTCAATGTTTATGCCAAATCAAAATAGCAGAATGATTGAAATGAAACATCTACCAGTACATAATCAGATATTTGTTTTTTTTAGTCTGACTTGAAAGTGTGAAAAGAATATCGTTTACCAATTTCACATTTTTCTTCGACCTGTCTAAGAATAAGCTTTCCTGTCTTTGATTAAAAGCCAATAGAAGTGGGATCTCTGTTTGAAATGTTATGACAGCGAACCTCCACGTACCGAGTACAAATGACAGTTACGTACCAAGAACAAAGAGCATGCCGTTGAGTACCAACATAGGAAAGCTCTGCCTCTTGTGATTCATACTAGCAACCTGAAGCCAGGTGTGGTGGCGAGGATCAAACCGGAACACACGGTCGCTCGGAGTGCTATTGGTGTAAAGTTTTTCTCCGCCAGCAACGTATAGGAACCCTCCCAGAACAGCAACTGTGAAACAAGGCAAAATACAGTTAAAATATAGAGGATATAGAATAGACAAAGGACGGAACATTCTGACGGAACTGATTAGCGATTGAATACCACATTTCAATACAAACATTGTACACGACACACAAGTCAATAGCACATTTCAATACAAACATTGTACACGACACACAAGTCAATAGCACATTTCAATACAAACATTGTACGCGACACCCAAGTCAATAGCACATTTCAATACAAACATTGTACACGACACACAAGTCAATAGCACATTTCAATACAAACATTGTACACGACACACAAATCAATAGCACATTTCAATACAAACATTGTACACGACACCCAAGTCAATAGCACATTTCAATACAAACATTGTAAGCGACACCCAAGTCAATAGCACATTTCAATACAAACATTGTACACGACACACAAGTCAATAGCACATTTCAATACAAACATTGTACACGACACACAAGTCAATAGCACATTTCAATACAAACATTGTACACGACACACAAATCAATAGCACATTTCAATACAAACATTGTACACGACACACAAGTCAATATCACATTTCAATACAAACATTGTACACGTTATACAAGTCAATAGCACATTTCAATACAAACATTGTAAGCGACACCCAAGTCAATAGCACATTTCAATACAAACATTGTACACGACACACAAGTCAATAGCACATTTCAATACAAACATTGTACACGACACACAAGTCAATAGCACATTTCAATACAAACATTGTACACGACACACAAGTCAATAGCACATTTCAATACAAACATTGTATACGACATACAGGTCAATAGCACATTTCAATACAAACATTGTACACGACATACAAGTCAATAGCACATTTCAACATAAAGTTTGCACACAACGCACAAATGAATAGCACATTTCAACACAGGGATTTAAGCTAAGTGAAACAAATTGAACTGCATAACACAGCAGTTTTGCCCTTAAGTGTTGTCTTTAGCCTTACTAAGACGACTGAAGAAAATTCAATTTGGAATAAATGTTCGTAAAAAAACAGATGGGAAGGCGCACTTACCCCAAAATTTAATTAACCAGTTAAATGAAAGAACGATAAAACCTGAGGAGAGTTTATCTTACCACTTACCAACTTACTAACAATAGATCCTTCACTTACCGGCTTCAATTTGCATATTGGTATTCCCTGATTGCTATAAAATGTACACGTCGGTAATTGTTTGATAAAAGATACAATTGTAATATATACAGTCACGTGTTACATCATTACAATGACTGTATCATTCCGCATGTATAAGGCCAAGGGTTATCTATTCTTTGCCTGAAACCCTATCCTTCTAATCTTTTTAAATAAAATTTTGCGGAAATGAAATAACATTTTTTGTATCATATAAATTATATATATGTGTGATATATAAATTATACATAACAATATCTCAATGTGTGATATATAAATTATATATAACAATATCTCAATGTGTGATATATAAATTATATATAACAATATCTCAATGTGTGATATATAAATTATACATAACGATATCTCAATGATATATAAATTATACATAACGATATCTCAGTGTGTGATATATAAATTATACATAACAATATCTCAATGTGTGATATATAAATTATACATAACGATATCTCAATGTGTGATATATTTCTTATATATAACGATATCTGAGTGTGTGATATATAAATTATACATAACGATATCTCAGTGTGTGATATATAAATTATACATAACGATATCTCAATGCTTGATATATAAATTATACATAACGATATCTCAGTGTGTGATATATAAATATATATAACGATATCTCAGTGTGTGATATATAAATTATACATAACGATATCTCAGTGTGTGATATATAAATTATGTGTGATATATCTCAATGTGTGATATATAAATTATACATAACGATATCTCAGTGTGTGATATATAAATTATACATAACGATATCTCAATGTGTGATATATAGATCATACATAACGATATCTCAATGTGTGATATATAAATTGTAAATAACGATATCTCAGTGTGTGATATATAAATTATACATAACGATATCTCAGTATATAAATTATACATGTGATATGTGATATATAAATTATACATAACGATATCTCAGTGTGTGATATATAAATTATATATAACGATATCTCAATGTGTGATATATAAATTATACATAACGATATCTCAATGTGTGATATATAAATTATATATAACGATATCTCAATGTGTGATATATATTTATTTTACATTTTCGCGGGAATTACTTTTTTGTTTAAAAGCGCGTGCAGTTGGTAGAATGAACACTTTACAGTCCAATAAATGTTGGTATTCACCAAAGCGGATTAAATTCGTTTCATCAGTGCGCAACTTAATTAATTAAATAATACATAGGACCAAATCCATTATAGTCTCTAACTTTGAAGTTTAACAAAAGTACACGGAAAACTTGTGAATCAATCAGACCCTTCTACAAGGCTAAATTTCCAAACGTGATGTGTGAATTGTGTTAAAAAGTTGTGAAGAACGACGTTTAACACCTCGTTCAAAGTCTGGCATTATTCAAAACCGGAGACATCTTGCTGGAAAAAATATTGAATTCTATAAGCGTTGAAAAATATATACATTACAACATGGTAGGATAAGACGAAAATGTTTCTTTCATTCTTGTTGGAAGGAATCTATCTGGATGACGGAGAATAAGACAATATAATGGTCACAATAAGCGACAAACTTACTGGGATGTTCACAGAACTGATTTCTCTACAGTAGCTCTTCAATATACAGGTAGTTTGAAGAATATTGTAAGAATCTATATATATATATATATATAGACATGCATAATGTTTATGCTGTAATTGTTGAAACTGTTAAAAACGACAAGAGAGTTTAATTTGTAATAAGATGAAATAAAGAATGTCTGTCTGTTTGTCAGTGGAAAACAGCACATGTCACAAAGAACGCTTATTGTAAAAAGTATTTTTCTCTTCTGGTTGCTAAATCAGGTAATTATGTAAATATACCTTTCTCAACAAAACGTATTCCTGTCAGGAAACTGATAGGAAAAAGATATAGTGTCTCATAAAATGCTGGGGTATGTTTTGTGGAGTTTTTATCTAAAAACTACCTCGAGGTATTGTAGTTTTGACGCCTACCCTACACCTCCTTCTACCGTGCATCAGAGAACTATAACACGCATATATCTTTAAAACATTCATAAACAAATATTGAAATCACTCTTGGTATTTTACATGAAAACTTCAAGGTTAGAAAAATTACGGTTCTGTAACTTAATGTAGATGTGACAGCTGGGAGCCGGTGTCAGCAACACCATATCAAACCCCAGTGATGAGTGTAACTAACAAGTACCAAAGTTAAACGGAAAAAATCGATAACAAACTGGTCTTTTTAAGATTCCTGGGGTGAGAGCCTATATTTTATAGACGTATATAAGTTTAATGATTTGGTATTGCAAAACACTAAGCGAGATTCATTTCAAATGATTGGACTTTCTTAATGAATATCATATGTAGGAAATGGACAGAGGTTAACGGTATGAATAAATAAATAAATAAATTAATTAATCAATTATCTAATTAAAACCACACACATATTCGACTCGAACGTTGCGATAAATCTAATAGAATATTGGGAAAAAAATTCTTCATATACATATGATGACATCGATGACGAGTTTTCGTTGAACACCTAGATTTATCAACATGGCGATCGTATTTTACCACAAACCCTGCATTATTTGACTTCATTGAAAAACCAACTACAATGAATACTTTATTCAATAAAAAAACAATGAATTATGTGTTTTGACCAAGTTTAATTTCCTCAGTCGCCCCATTGGTTTAGCATTTTAGGCCCTTGCAATTACTGACGAGCCCTACAAAGACGAGACAGATGTATGAATCAGTTGTTGTATCGGATTTATCAAACTACGTGACAATGAACGTACTACTAGCTGTTGTAATGCATTTTTGTGATATCCTGCAAGCCTTGCACATTAAAACAAACAATATAATCTGTTTACTTATAAATGGCTGCTATCAAATATCAAATGTAAGTTTGAAAGCATCATTTTTGAAGTGATAGGACGTTAGTAGCCTGGCTTAATGTCGGATGTTTTTGTAGTCGTACGTATATATCTACAAGATATATGTCGAACAATGCTCTTACATTCACAGCAAGATAATGCAACTCCCAATAGGTGTTAATTGTTTGAGGATTTCGTTCCGCTTCTTTCTTGTCAGTATACCACAGTCATTCCAAATAACGAATCGAACACGTTATACAACAGTATTTTTAATGTGAATTACTACTTAATAATAATAGGAAAATGGTTCGGCAATTCATTTACGCAATCGACATCATTTTACATAGAGAGTAAATCTTAAGAAACATAGATAATAATTATTCTTTGCATACGTTATATAATTGTTGTTTTGTAACGTAGCATGGAATGTATTATAATTCATCCCAAATGTCATACATAAGATTTCAACCTGTAATTGTAATTTGTCAAACTAAGATGTTTGTGTGTGTGACGTGATGTTTGTGGTGCCTACATGTTTACAAACTATTGTGGCAAACATCAGCTATTGAAGTAGTGTTTGCAAACCTTTTCACGTAGAGAGTTGACTTCATAGGTTATAATTATAGGAATCAAGTCAACGTTCATTGCACAATCTTTCCATTAAGTTTCATTTTTAGACTTCAAACGTTGTCAATTTAGACGTTTCTAGATCGTAAATCACCAGGAAAATCATAGCGTCAAAAGCGCCTACCATAGCTCTAACCGGACCTACGTCCCGATTGGATAACATGTTATCACATCGTGCACGCGCTGTTTCCATTACACTGTTAGTTTTATGGACAAGACGCTGCAATTGAACTCATAGCGGGTATCGTATCTCATATGCGGGGGAGGGCTCTCAACAGTCAATAATGGAATGCTATCTCG